TATTTTTTAAATTTGACAAATGTTTATTAAATGCATATGCATATATGCCACACACTGTTCCAGGAGTGAGTGATACAATAGTAAACAGAATATACAGTCACTGTCTTTACAGAGTTTTCATTCTAATGAAAGGGGTCAGTTAATAAACACATGTGCAAGTGAATACATACTTTAGCTGATGTTAATTGTTATAGAGAAAAAATAGAACAAGAAAAGGTGGACGGGAAGTTCTATTGATGAAAGTCATTTGAGGGTTTGAGTAGAAAAGTCACATGATCTGATCTATTATTTACTTTGGCTACTGTGTAGAGAACAAAATAGAGACAAGGACAGAAAGACAAGAGATGCTCTTTTGCAAAATCCAGGCAAGAAAATAATAGTGGACAGGATTGGATAGTAGCAGTTCAGGTGATGAGATGTGGTTGGATTTTGCCTGTGTGTGTCCATGTATATCTATATATACTGAAGGTAATATTACAGAATATGCTGAGGAGGCAAGGTTTTCTGGCCTGATCAATTTGAAGAACAAAGTTGTTAATTTAAACTGAAACGCACAAGTTACAAGAGAAGCAGAGTTTGCTGGTGGTGGGGATGGAATGGGTGGAAATCAACAGCTCAGTTTGGGATAATTCAAGTGCAGACGTCCTGATTGGAGCTAGACATTAAAGGGGAGAGATATAAATTTAAAGTCTTAAGACTAAATGACAATAGATGGAGAATAGGCTTGAGGACTGAGTGCTGGGGCACACCCAACTTAAAGAAGCTGGGGAGAAGAGGAAGAACCTGCTGAGAAGGCAGGGAAGGAACAGCTAATGAGACTAGCAGAGAACCAGGAGGGAAACGTGTCCTGGAAGCCAATAGAAAAAGTGTTCAACAGGAAGGGTCAAGCACCACTGACAGGGCACAAAAGATGAGGACTAAAACTGACCACTGGATGCAGCAACATGGAGGTCACTGATGACCTTGAAAAGATCTGTTTTGAAGTGAACTAGTGCAGCAAAATGTCTGACTGGAACAGTTTTAAGAAAGAGAGAAAGTGGTATAGGACTATGGTCCTCAATCCCTGGGCTGTGGACTGGTACCAGTCTGTGGCCTGCTAGGAAGGGGGCTGCACAGCAGGAGGTGAGCTGCCAGCAAGTGAAGGAAGCTTCATCTGCTTTTACAGCTGCTCACTGTCGCTCGCATCACCGCCTGAGCTCCACCTACTATCAGATCAGCGGCAGCATTAGATTCTCATGGGAGCACGAACCCTGCGGTAAACTGCACATATGTGAAGGATCTATGTTGCGCTCTCCTTATGAGAATCTAATGCCTGATGATCTGAGGGGGAGCTGAGGCGGTGATGCTAGCGCTGGGGAGCAGCTGCAAATACAGATTATCATTAGCAGAGAGGTTTGACTGCACAGAGACCACAATAAATCAATTGCTTGCAGACTCATATCAAAACCCTATCAGTGAGTGGCAAGTGACAATAATAATAGAAATGTAGTAATAAAGTACACAATAAATGTAATGTGCTTGAACCATCCCAAAACCTCCCTCCCGCCCCATCCCCATCTGTGGAAAAATTCTCTTCCATGAAACCGGTCCTTGATGCCAAAAAAGGTTGGGGACCGCTGATCTAGGAGATTAAATGGATTAGTGAAATATAACAGGACTGCTAAATAAATGAGCTGACCGACTATTTTAGTGTCAAATTTAGGGCTCTTCTGAGGCAACCATCAATTTCAGATATCACTTAGCCC